CGGTCTGGGAAAGAGTCTTCCAACCGAAAGCTCAACCAAACATACAGATCCAAGACCTGCATCAACAAATTGAGAGATAAATTGGTTCAAAAAGATAAAATTTATTATTATTTTCCAACAAACTGAACCAAGGGAAAAAATGGTGATTGAAGTCATGACATTGCACATGACCATGACCATTGATTGCCCCTGACAATTAAGTTATAAGGCTACAACCTTTGGGTTGTGCCGTGGTTCACCCTCTCACTGGATCATTCATGTGAATTATAAAAAAAAATAAAACAAAAGAAACCTTGTGAATGGATTCTAGCTCTTTAAGAGCAGCAGGCGTCTTGGGCACTTTGAGTGACCCTGGCGTAAATATTTCACGAAGCCGAACAAGGCCTTTCTTTGCATAATTATCTGCAAACTGGTTTATCATAAATTGCATCATTTTTAATGGCCATTCAAACTAACATCAACGTATTTCACACTAACAATATGATAATTACCTGTGTCAGGCCTTGAGATGAAATCTCATCATCCATGTCAGCTGGACTGAATATTATAATAAGTATCAGTTAAAATTTATCTGAAAAGGTTAAGTGATATAAAATACAGACATGGATATTGCATTCTGAAATTTTGTTATTTCCTGAAAAGACAATTGTGTACCTGATACAGAAAAGGTATTTCTCATGTAATCCAAGGGGAAGCTCATCAATAACAGCAGCCACTTTCTAGTACCAGCATGTACAAACAACACCCATCAAACAAAAGGGAACCCAGTAAATAATATAATCAAATAATGGAGGTATTTGATAATTGATATTACTAATGAACAAGGTCGCAATGATATGAAATATCCACAATTCAATGGCAAGGCAGCTATTAAAGACATACCAGTAATTGTTCACAATTAACAATGAAATAATTTTCAGATAATTTTGCATTGTCAAGAAAATGTGCCTGCAATATTTAAAGAAAAAAAGATAAATAATTATGTAGTTTTGGGATATAATAAGATAATGCATTTAGATGTTAAGACACCTAAGGATTTTCAACTTCAATGATTTGATAGATGAAATTGAGTAGAATAGGATGGTTGCCCATTTGGTAAGTGACTAGTAATCACATAATTTTCTTTGCTATAAAAAATAATACAATGTATAGTAACTATGGATGACAGAATGGAAGATGATGCAAACAGCAACAGGCAGATATAATTTACCAGTATTTGATAGAAACCATTTCTTGGGTGTAATCGTGAATACATATACATCAGATCAAAGGTAGGAAGTAAGCCAGCACGCTGTATCAGAATAAGTAGTATAAACAAATCATCAATAAAAGATAAAGTAAACCAAGTTCAGATATGAGTGTGTATCTACTAGAAACTGTTTCAGATTCACCTAGGCTGCATACTTCGTATAGGACAGTTAGGTGTTAGGTTACCTCTAAAGTGGGTGATGGAGAATTCAATGATGAATGGAGCAAGGGTAGATCTTTTTCATCCATGCACGTTACTTCTCCTAGAGGAAAATTTGACCCATATCTACCAGCTCTCCCTGCAAGTATGAATGCCTTCAATGCAACCACGAATAACATGTGATTCAAATAGAGACATAATAAATAGCCAAAGCCTCCATATTCATAAAATATAAAAATAATATATGTTAGAACAGCGAATCATGGAAATTTTATTTTACTGTTAAGTTTTTTCAAACCCTAAGTTATCAGTTACCTAAACGTTAAAATGAGTCAATGAAAATCTTGAAAATAATACAGAAAACATACACATTAATAGAAATATTCTTGCTGTCTTAAGGAGAATGAATAGGTCGAGCAGAGAGAAAAAAAAAAAGAAAAAAAAGGGGAGAAATGTCAAGGGGGGCATGTTAAAGCCACAAAAACAGGGAACAAAAGTTACAAAACGAACTTTCAGCAGAAGTTTAAATTCTTGTATAATAGCACAGATTTTTCCAAAAAAAATCTTTTGATGGTCCCACAGAATCTTTTCATCTCTGAATTACATCCTAGAAGATTTGACTAGTATCATAGAAGCAACAGAGTCAAAATATTAATTTATTATATGCAAAATGTTAAACACAAGTTCCTAATACCAAATGCGAATTATTTAGCAAACTCAGCATCCAACAAGGATAAAATATAAACAAAAAGGATGCTTTGATGTCTACTTATCTAAGCTATCAAATTCAATATATAGGTCCAACTGCATACCTCATGACAGAAGGTAAGATTAGAAAAACTATGCAAAGCTAATAGTCAATGTTACATTGCTTAAACATAACAAAAAATATTCTTATTGACAAAAAATATTCAACACAACATAAAACATTAATATACATCAGATACAATCCTTTAATCAAATTCAGGAACAAGGTCAATCCATTTATGTGTATTTTATGCTACCTGCAATCTGTTTGATCTCAGGTACAGTCAGCTCCCGCATCTCAAAACCATCAAACTTCTTCATGGTTGAAAATATGATCCTAGAGATGTTTAGATTAAGACCCATTCCAATGGCATCACTGGCCACAAGAACATCAAACTCACTACTTGCATCATTGAACATGCTTGCCTGCAGTCCTAATGAAACTTTAAGCTGAGCAAATTCTTGGCATAGAGGAGGGACAATACAAAGGAAATGGGAAATATTTATTAACATATATGCCAAATAAATGTAGCAGTAGACTAAGGTAAACCAATAAACTATAGACAAAAGAAGAGAAGGAATTTTCAAACAGAGCCATGAAATAACACTGAGAATTGAGAAACACAAAAATCACAAAAGAACAAAACAATGGCATAATTTTTTATATGAGCCATAAATGTTATAATTTAAAGATTACATTACCATGAAACAAGGGTAATTCAAAAGGAAAACCAAAAACTACGTAGACAGAGGTAGGAGCTCACACCTGCCTTGTTCGAGTCTCCGGTGGCAGTGAACCATAAACTACTGAACATAGATGCTTTCCTTCTTTCTCAATTCTCTTCTGAGCAATATGAATATCAACTTTTGTTAGTTAGTTTGTAGTGTAGACACTAACAATACAATTGAATTTTCACAATTCACAATACATTAGCAGCTTGTATTCTTTATGAGATAAAATGTCATTATAAGTATCATTCTCTTCTTATGCTAATCAAAATGGAGAAAAAAATGTAAAGAGTAAAAGAGTGTTTAATGACTAAACCTTACCTAATTCTAGCAAACTCTGGCACTGTATATATTGTCCACATTCCATATATATTGTTAAAAACTTTAGGCTTGGATGTTCAATTAGAAAGATAATAGATTGGAGTCAACTAAGATCTGATTATAGTCGTGACTTGTGAATTATATCATAGTGGAGATGATGACACAACCACAATCCAGTTCTCACTAAAGTAAGTAGAGGATCAACTTTATGGCGGGGAGGGAATGCAAAGTGCACAAAGAAATCTATAATCAAAGACAAAAACTCGATACTGTTTTAAATTCAGAAGTGCCAAAACAGTAAAATAAAAATCAATGTTTCCACAAATTACCTACTTACCTCTCGGCATCTAATACCAAAGTTAAAAATCAAATTATCAATCATTTTGTTTACTTTGTTCTTTTTTTTCACTTTTGATAACGTTGCAAACATGTAAGTCACATTAAAAGAATTTAAACACCTTTTTAGACACAACTGCTTATGTAGACCAGGTACCATAGATCAGCTTTTTGCTTAACTTAGCAAAAGACTAATGGTCAGCTACATAAAATTTATCCAAGGAAAAAAATTGATCACTGTAAAATAGAGAAAACTAATGAAGCAAATTACTGAAACCAGTGACAACCTTTACTAAATTGCTGGTGTATTATTTATCAAAAAAAAAATGTAGATGTTTGACACACATTTCATTAATACTTAAAATAAATTCTTAAAAAAATTTGGATAACCTCTTTTTCAGAACAATCTAACGTGAGAAACAAAAGGGAACAATAACAATAAAAGTGAAAATGAGTAAACACAAAAGTTTGAGCATAAAACAAAATATGAAAGCATACAAGTTAATTTCAAGAACAGTTAAATCATGTAAAGCTCACCTTCAATTTGTATATCTGCTGACGTGAAAATGTTACAATGCAATCACCATTTCTTACATCAGAGAAAGATCCAAGAGGAACATTCAGGGGGACTAAAGGTGACAATCTTTCGTAAGATTGAACCTGCAGCACACATGAAGAAGAAAACTTAGTCAGTGAATTCAAACAACATTTTAATGAAAATACCATGAATAAGCCGAGGGACATGAACAACAGTTGTCATTTACCACCACAGAAAATTCACGTGAATGAAATTATTGGTCTAATGTATATGCTCCCTTTCCATCCCCCACATAAAATGTTGTTCTTGATTTTGTTCAGATACTCAAAAAAAGACATGAGTTTCAGTACCTCAACTTCATCGCCAGTAATTTTCAGTATCTCCTGAATAAGGGGAACAGCAGCTGGATCACCACAAAGGTGAAGTTCATCAGCAGCAATTCCTAATAAAGCCCGTGTAAACGAATATCCCCTTGTACTACACCCTATCATCTGGATGAAAACAAAAATAAAGGTTAGATGGGAAAAGAAGTCACAAAAACAAGCATACCATGGAAAGCCTATAAGATTTTATTTTCATAGAATCACAAGATATGGAATGACAACAAGAAAAGCCCACAATGCCTCCTCGATGTAAATGTTTCAGTTATTAAAAAACACAAAAAAATAAAAATAAAAAGATCCAATTCTCAATTAGTAACTAGTAAAACTACTAAAATTGAACAACTAACACGACAAGATTATGATAAGAACAGAACCTTTTGGGGAACCTAAAGTTCTACCCTATTTTCAACGTGAAATTTATTATGTTGGTTCACATAAAACCAAGTAATTCTAGGAGTTATTTTAGATATAATATGAAAAAGGAATCTCCAAATGAAAATTTTACTTGCCTGAATTTCATCAATAACAGCACATTGATAATCAGCTGATACATCAGCCATTTCAACTGTAACAGCCTTATGATTTGCACCATCAACTTCCTCTCTTTCCTGACCCGTAATGAGATCACAAGGAACTTGGGCCTTGTTCAACCGTTTTGCTATCTCCCATGCCAACAATCTCAAAGGACCGCAATATACACCTGCAAAGTAAAAAAATACTAAATCTGCTTACTAAATTTTCATCCTCCCACATTATTTCTTACCTTCACAATAACTAGAGATGGATAACTAACTTACCCGAAGCACTTGACTCAAGTTGCTTCAGAGCATGATACGTTTTGCCGCTATTTGTTGGACCAACATGCAGGATAACCCTGCGACGTTTCTTTCGGGCCTGTGGATACCATGTATGAGGGCAACTAAAAAAACCAATAGTCAGGCATCAGCACTCAGAACCATCAAAAGTAAGCTAAAATTACATAGTCATGGCATTGTCATAAAGATTCATAATAATCACATAAAATAAAAGTTACTTAACAGCTTTTGAAATCAAAAGCAAACAACATTACTTCCATACTGATTATCTATGAGACATGTATACTTACGTCAAGTCAGTAAAATCACTTCTGATGGGACCATTACGGCTGCTATATGGATGTACCTTGTTTGCAGCACCACCTAAAGTTTGAAACTTGAACTGAAAGTACAGAGGAAAATGCTCCGTATTACCTGGATTAGTGATAAAATGTCATCAACACCATATAATAGGAAAATAGTGGATTGCTTACATCCGAAATTAATTAACCATGTGTTATGTTCTATAACTAATTAGAATTCAGAATATTTGATGGTAAAAAATTAAGGAATAGCGTAAAGAATTAAATGCAGAGAAAGAATAGCGAAAATAAAAAAAGTGAAGCGAACCGAGTAGAGAGCGAGCGAATAGATTGCGGTTGCGGCGAAGAAAAAAGGAAGCCATTGTTTGGATTGGGAAGAGAAATTGGATAGAAAAAGAGAGAGAAAGGGAAAGAGCAACGTGCGATTCCGATTGATCCAAAACGTTGCTTCCTTTGACCACACAACCTGCGAACCTCGCTCCTCGCCTCTTCACCCTCGTCCCACCCCGAGTCTCGTAAGCGCTAGTATTACTTTTATTTTACTCTTTAATTTATTATTTAAGTTAATTTATCTCTCTATTAATTTTATTTTTATTTTTAATTTTTAATTAATGGAATAATTTAAGTAACTTTAATCGGATTATTTTGTTTTTAAATTATGTTATTGATGAAAAATATTTATTAATTTTGTGATTAATTATTTTTTATAAATACTTAACTCATCGTTTTTAATAAAGAAATCCTCCAAATCATGTTTACTGTCATTCTGATTTATTAATTTCTACCCTAAAAGTGTGAACGTGCATGCAGGTTATTACAATCAATTCTGAATTTTATTTTTAAAATTGAATATTTATCAATTTTAAAAATGTTTAGATATAAAATCAGTAAAATAAAATTGGATGTAAAATCAATTATTGACTTAAAATAACCGATTTTATAATTTTTTTTTTATCACCGGTGATATCCTAAAAGTATATTTAGTTCAAATTGTGAAAATAAAGAAGTCAAAAGTTTTCTTTGATTCAAAAGATAAATAAAAAATTATCTCTTTTATTGTTTAATTCATAAGGAAATGGAAGAAACTTAAAAATAAAAAAAAAACATGTTCTTATAACTTTAAGTTTAAACTATAAATAAAAATATCTTGGACATTATACTAAAAAAATACTTTAAAATTCATTCACTTTTCATCAAATCTCCTTTTTTTTTTCCCTAAGAATTGAATAAAATTATAATTTTTTTCTAAAAAAATCTATCTCTCACCCCATTCTCCTCTAATTAAATAGTATGTAAGCTACTCAACTTCCTAACACTAGAAAAATTAACAACAAGGTAGGGGAAATTTGCAAAATTTTGTAAGAATACGAATGAAGGAAATAACATATAAATATATACAATAATTATAACTATTTTTAAAATTTAAATATTAATGGTGTGATCAAGAATATACATATAGTCTTAAGTTTAAGTTCTATTACTGGCACTGTAATTTTTGCAAAGCAAAAAAAGTTAAAATAATATTTATTATAATTTAAAATTTTAATTACTTTAATTACACTAATTAAAATATATTTACTTTAAATACAATTACTTTAATTACATTCATTAAAATATAATTAAAGATATTTTTTTTATTACAGTAGCATAAATTTTTTTATTAAAGTGTATTTACTTTAAAACTAAATACACTGTCAATTGTAAATTTATTCAATCAGGTCATTTTTAAGAAGAAAAAAATTATGAACCAACAGAAAAAGGTAAAAAGAAAATTAAACTATTACAATTGTTATGTATAATAAATTTACTAGATCTAACAATAATAACTATCTTAAAACTTTTATTAATAATACTCCCTTTATCTCATAATGATTAAATTTTTTATATATAGATTAAAAAATAATAAATACATCATTTTTTTTATCAATTTTACTCTCTCAATAAATAAATAAATAAATAAATATATATATATATAT